CTGGAACACACACACACACACACACACGAGCGTTACGGAGAGACGCCCTCATCCATTAATCATCGTTAGCTTTACACTCTCTGTGTGTGTTTAGCTTACAGCCGCTGTGAACCTCCAGATCGACGAGGTGAGGGGAATAAACTTTACACTTGATTCCAAAAAGCCCATTTGAATTAGACTGGGATTATTTTTAAACATACTCTTCAGCATTAATTTTGCATTTAAATTACTTTTTTCAGAGCAATGCATTCTGGGAGAGCAAAATATGCTTGTTATGTGTTGCCATAATTAAACTGTATTAGTCCACAGAACACATGTGAAAAAGACACTTAATGTTCAGTAATATAGCCTATAAGAACAACAGATCCGATCAGTTGATGTGAATAATGACTCTGATCTTCTTTACAGCTGAATCAGAATTTGTCTCATATTTGATCAAGTTTGCATCATTGATTCTGATATTTTCCTATTTATTGCTGTGAAACGAACTGTACTGTATAAAGCGCTGGAGAAATAAAGCTGACTGGACATATAATGACATTATAATGACATCTGCTCTTAGTTGTCTGGCTAGTGAAAGATCCATATTGGTGTAATGACAGTGAAATAGAGAAGCATGGCACTTTTACACGTCCTGATATCAGTAAGAGCGTATAGAGTCTGTGAATGATGCAATAAACACCAGCCTAACTCTCAGACTGATTCATAAAAGGCCACTAAACACTCGACTCTGAAAGCGAGAGGATCAGATTACACAACACACACACCCACACGTCCTAGAGTCACACACATCCCATCACAGAGAGACTGTGTCTGTTCCCCGAATTAGAAAATACAAAACACTCCCAAACCTATTTAAGGGTAAACGTGTAATTGATGTTCAACAAATAAAAAACAGATATAATACAGATTAACAAATAATAAATCTCGGGTTGTTGAATATTCGATCCCTTACTTCAAAAGCACTCATTGCTAATGATATGATCACAGATTATAATCTAGATGTGCTGTGTTTGACAGAAACCTGGCTAAAACCAGACGATTACATTACTTTAAATGAGTCCACCCCGCAAGATTACAGTTATAAACATGAACCTCGTCTGAAAGGCAAAGGGGGAGGTGTTGCTGTAATTTATAGTAATATCTTAGAATTACTGAGAAGTCTTGTTTCATATATAATTCTTTTGAAGTGTTGGTGCTTAATGTAACACTATCTAGTGTAAGTGATAAATCCTGTTTGAGATTTGAGCTGGCTACTGTATACCGGCCACCAGGGCACCATACAGACTTTATCAAAGAATTTGCTGACTTTCTATCAGAGTTAGTACTGGCTGCAGATAAAGTCCTAATTGTTGGTGATTTTACAGTTTTTTTTAGTCTAAACGCCAGTGAACACAACTGGAGCTCCATGTGCAAAACTCTAACTCCAGTCTCCACTACCAGCAGTCCCTGAGCTAAACAGCTCACATCACCTGCACAACTCACTCAAAGCAACACAACTCTTAACACACGCTCAACACAGGCTCATGCAGACACACACTACACAACCCTCACTGAGATAACACACACTACACAACCCTCACTGAGATAACACACACTACACAACCCTCACTGAGATAACACACACTACACAACCCTCACCGAGATAACACACACTACACAACCCTCACTGAGATAACACACACTACACAACCCTCACTGAGATAACACACACTGCACAACCCTCACTGAGATAACACACACTACACAACCCTCACCGAGATAACACACACTGCACAACCCTCACTGAGATAACACACACTACACAACCCTCACTGAGATAACACACACTACACAACCCTCACTGAGATAACACACACTGCACAACCCTCACTGAGATAACACACACTACACAACCCCCACTGAGATAACACACACTACACAACCCTCACTGAGATAACACACACTACACAACCCTCACTGAGATAACACACACTACACAACCCTCACTGAGATAACACACACTACACAACCCTCACCGAGATAACACACACTACACAACCCTCACTGAGATAACACACACTACACAACCCTCACTGAGATAACACACACTGCACAACCCTCACTGAGATAACACACACTACACAACCCTCACCGAGATAACACACACTGCACAACCCTCACTGAGATAACACACACTACACAACCCTCACTGAGATAACACACACTACACAACCCTCACTGAGATAACACACACTGCACAACCCTCACTGAGATAACACACACTACACAACCCTCACTGAGATAACACACACTGCACAACCCTCACTGAGATAACACACACTACACAACCCCCACTGAGATAACACACACTACACAACCCTCACTGAGATAACACACACTACACAACCCTCACTGAGATAACACACACTACACAACCCTCACTGAGATAACACACACTACACAACCCTCACCGAGATAACACACACTACACAACCCTCACTGAGATAACACACACTACACAACCCTCACTGAGATAACACACACTACACAACCCTCACTGAGATAACACACACTACACAACCCTCACCGAGATAACACACACTACACAACCCTCACTGAGATAACACACACTACACAACCCTCACTGAGATAACACACACTGCACAACCCTCACTGAGATAACACACACTACACAACCCTCACCGAGATAACACACACTGCACAACCCTCACTGAGATAACACACACTGCACAACCCTCACTGAGATAACACACACTACACAACCCCCACTGAGATAACACACACTACACAACCCTCACTGAGATAACACACACTACACAACCCTCACTGAGATAACACACACTACACAACCCTCACTGAGATAACACACACTACACAACCCTCACCGAGATAACACACACTACACAACCCTCACTGAGATAACACACACTACACAACCCTCACTGAGATAACACACACTACACAACCCTCACTGAGATAACACACACTACACAACCCTCACTGAGATAACACACACTGCACAACCCTCACTGAGATAACACACACTACACAACCCTCACCGAGATAACACACACTGCACAACCCTCACTGAGATAACACACACTGCACAACCCTCACTGAGATAACACACACTACACAACCCTCACTGAGATGACACACACTGCACAACCCTCACTGAGATAACACACACTACACAACCCTCACTGAGATAACACACACTGCACAACCCTCACTGAGATAACACACACTACACAACCCTCACTGAGATAACACACACTACACAACCCTCACTGAGATAACACACACTACACAACCCTCACTGAGATAACACACACTACACAACCCTCACTGAGATAACACACACTACACAACCCTCACCGAGATAACACACACTACACAACCCTCACTGAGATAACACACACTACACAACCCTCACTGAGATAACACACACTGCACAACCCTCACTGAGATAACACACACTACACAACCCTCACCGAGATAACACACACTGCACAACCCTCACTGAGATAACACACACTACACAACCCTCACTGAGATAACACACACTACACAACCCTCACTGAGATAACACACACTGCACAACCCTCACTGAGATAACACACACTACACAACCCCCACTGAGATAACACACACTACACAACCCTCACTGAGATAACACACACTACACAACCCTCACTGAGATAACACACACTACACAACCCTCACTGAGATAACACACACTACACAACCCTCACCGAGATAACACACACTACACAACCCTCACTGAGATAACACACACTACACAACCCTCACTGAGATAACACACACTACACAACCCTCACTGAGATAACACACACTACACAACCCTCACCGAGATAACACACACTACACAACCCTCACTGAGATAACACACACTACACAACCCTCACTGAGATAACACACACTGCACAACCCTCACTGAGATAACACACACTACACAACCCTCACCGAGATAACACACACTGCACAACCCTCACTGAGATAACACACACTGCACAACCCTCACTGAGATAACACACACTACACAACCCCCACTGAGATAACACACACTACACAACCCTCACTGAGATAACACACACTACACAACCCTCACTGAGATAACACACACTACACAACCCTCACTGAGATAACACACACTACACAACCCTCACCGAGATAACACACACTACACAACCCTCACTGAGATAACACACACTACACAACCCTCACTGAGATAACACACACTACACAACCCTCACTGAGATAACACACACTACACAACCCTCACTGAGATAACACACACTGCACAACCCTCACTGAGATAACACACACTACACAACCCTCACCGAGATAACACACACTGCACAACCCTCACCGAGATAACACACACTGCACAACCCTCACTGAGATAACACACACTGCACAACCCTCACTGAGATAACACTCACTGAGATAACACACACTGCACAACCCTCACTGAGATAACACACACTACACAACCCTCACTGAGATAACACACACTACACAACCCTCACTGAGATAACACACACTACACAACCCTCACTGAGATAACACACACTACACAACCCTCACTGAGATAACACACACTACACAACCCTCACTGAGATAACACACACTACACAACCCTCACTGAGATAACACACACTACACAACCCCCACTGAGATAACACACACTACACAACCCCCACTGAGATAACACACACTACACAACCCTCACTGAGATAACACACACTGCACAACCCTCACTGAGATAACACACACTACACAACCCTCACTGAGATAACACACACTGCACAACCCACACTGAGATAACACACACTACACAACCCTCACTGAGATAACACACACTGCACAACCCTCACTGAGATAACACACACTGCACAACCCTCACTGAGATAACACACACTACACAACCCTCACTGAGATAACACACACTACACAACCCTCACTGAGATAAC